AGGGAAAAGTTAGAAAATGTGAAGCAAGTTTGTCCAAAGGCAATGAACTTTTGGAAAATGCTGTGCTATACTTTGAGCCTCATCACAGTACAGGTGTGTCTAATCTGGCAAGATGCTCATGGCAGGGATGAGTTTAGATCCTAATACAGCAATTAGAGCAGTGTGGATGAAAGTCTTCAGGCACGGATGCAGTTACAGGATTAGGGACTGACTGGGAATTCTTAACAAGGTATCAAAGTATGTTCATCTTTCTACACTCCTGCCCTAATGGTTTATCAATAGGAGTTGTCCCTATGGCTATGTTGTTTTTTTGTTTGCTTGTTTTGGGTTTTGTTTTTTTACCCAATACCTTTCTATTCAAAACAAAGAAGCAATGTATGTTACTTTTTTAGATCTGATGGGCCTGTGAAAAATTTGGGATCTTGCAAGGAGGAGAAAGTGATGATGGAATCGCATATCCTCCATGCAATTCTGTTTGTTTGTAAGAAAGCACCAGGTATTACTTTCTGAAACAAAACAGGAGTCAAACAACCTGAGAGATTCTCTGTATGGTATCATATCTTTCAACCTGCACTGCCAGTGGGTCTCTCTGTAGGCTTTTTCTCAGAGAAATGCTGTCATACTTGTTCAGTCTTTAGTTCACTCTCTACCTGACAAAGCCTTTCTCCTGGGGTTTTTTTTTCTTCACACACTCGTACAGATCTCTACACACGGCAGTGCTTATAGATGCCTCTCTGCCCAGACTCTCAGTTCTTTAGTCTTGTGTCTTGTGCCTACTTCAGTTTGTGCAGAGACTTGTTATTACAATTAGCTGCTTCCAAGAAGTTTAATGCCTTATTAACAACCTTAGGGGCAGCAGCTAAGCTTTCCAGTTTCAATGAGATTTAACTCAGCCTTTACTACTAAACATTCAAAATTTTACAACAAATTTCACATAACACTTCTGGTACTAAATGCTGGTAGGGAAAAATGTTGTTAAGGCCTTCTTGTGATTTATTTCATTTAATTTTGAGTACATTAATTTGGTTTAGATCGGTTATGAAGGCCTTATGGTATTATTTTTGATTCCCTGATTGGCTGAGCCCTTTTTGTGGTCAAGGTGGTTATTAGAAGCCATTTTGACTACTTTTTCTCAGCAGTAGGGTTTACATTATTATGCATGCTCTGTTGGACAAAAACTGTTTGGGGTAGGGAATGTTTCATTGCTGTTTCTTGTGCCTTTGTGTGTGATGCAACTTATCTTCTCATACCAGGATGACCAATTGAGAGTTTAGGTGGCAATAGCCCATGAAAATCTGGCAGCCCATGAAAATACCAAGGGGAAAGTCCAAATGCAGAAGACTATAAATTTTATTAGGGGAAGTCAAAGGGGAATAGGGGAAGCGCTGTTTACTAGGGCGCCCCAGGGAGTGACTAGGAATAACGGGTGTAAACTAGTTGAGAGGGGATTTAGGTTAGATATTAGGAAGAAATTTTTCACAGTAAGGGTGGCCAAGATCTGGAATGGGCTTCCAAGAGAGGTGGTGCTATCACCTAGCTTGGAGGTCTTTAAGAGGAGGCTAGATAGTTACCTGGCTGGGGTCATCTGACCTCGGTCCTCTTTCCTGCCAGGGGCAGGGGATCAGACACGATGATCCATTGTGGTCCCTTCCGACTCTACAATCTATGAAAGACTCCCCCAGGTAAGAGCGTCATCATGGTAGGGTCTTTAGTTTTTCAAGAATACCTGTCAGCCTTTTTAGGAATGTGTGCAACCAAAAAACAAATTACAGCAGCACCAGTGCTATACTTGTGAATTATCTTAGTTATGGTTTCTTGTTCCAAACTTGGCAACAAAGTTCTTTTAGTACATATGGGAACTTTTGTGAAGGAATCTAGCGCTGCATTATTTCTTGTGATGTACTATTTATGATCTTTTTTGCTGGGATGTCCTGCATTGCAGCACAGGTTCTTTCTAGGTTTGGAGTGTTTACTTATGGGTCTGAACTAGTTTATCCCTGGATTTTTGTTTGGCTGGAGTTTGCTTGTTTCCTGGTCAGCTTTTTCATAATGTGAGATTATTGGCGTGAGTAGCCCTTAGAGTCTTGGAAGGCAATAAGGTACTTTAGCTCTTGCTAACAGCCCTGTAACCTCAAGTTTCTCTCATTGGTATTGTCCCAAATTCTGGTTCCAAGTCCCATTCTCCTAGGCCTGCATAGCAGAAAACATTGCAGTGAAGAGTGATCCCATGTCAAATCCATTTTTGGTAGCTGCTGCATTGTACCAAGCATAGGCCTGAGGGCTGCTGAGCTGTTGAAAGAGTTCTGTAGTTGCTTTTCATATCCTGACACACCCATCAAAATAAGAAGCACATACTACTGGTATTTAGCACTGCAAGGGGCAGGCTGTGGGATGAGTAAACCTGGCCTACACTCCAGGCAGCTTCTCAAAGGCTGAAATAAATTGCCACATAAGACCACAGCCTTGAATTAACTTAGAGCCCAGGACAGGAGTTCTTGTGAGGCAGTTGCACTGGGGTTGAGATTTTTTTTTTTTTTTTTTTTTTTTTTTTTTTTTTTTTTTTTTTTTTTTTTTTTTTTTTTTTTTTTTTTTTTTTTTTTTTTTTTTTTTTTTTTTTTTTTTTTTTTTTTTTTTTTTTTTTTTTTTTTTTTTTTTTTTTTTTTTTTTTTTTTTTTTTTTTTTTTTTTTTTTTTTTTTTTTTTTTTTTTTTTTTTTTTTTTTTTTTTTTTTTTTTTTTTTTTTTTTTTTTTTTTTTTTTTTTTTTTTTTTTTTTTTTTTTTTTTTTTTTTTTTTTTTTTTTTTTTTTTTTTTTTTTTTTTTTTTTTTTTTTTTTTTTTTTTTTTTTTTTTTTTTTTTTTTTTTTTTTTTTTTTTTTTTTTTTTTTTTTTTTTTTTTTTTTTTTTTTTTTTTTTTTTTTTTTTTTTTTTTTTTTTTTTTTTTTTTTTTTTTTTTTTTTTTTTTTTTTTTTTTTTTTTTTTTTTTTTTTTTTTTTTTTTTTTTTTTTTTTTTTTTTTTTTTTTTTTTTAACCTGCCATAAATGTCCCAGCTCGGGACCAGCTGGGTACCAAGCTCTATGGAAAACTCGGCCTATTAGAAATATAATGTGTCAGTTGAAACTTTAGCCACCAGAGGGCCGATAGTGGCTTCTAGGCTATCCAGGGGAGCATAATACAACTATAGACTCTCCCTCTGCCTGAAGAAGGCTGTTTGTACCTGAAAGCTTGCAAAGAACACTTTCCCCAACTATTTAGTTGGTCTAATAAAAGATATCACAAAGAAACTTGAGGGCAGTTAATGTCATTTTTTGCTGAACATTTGGCACTTTTACTGCCCTTGTTATCTTCATGCAGCCTGGATTTCTTCCTTAAATTCTGAATCTTATTGCTGGCTTCATAAATATTGTACTTGACTGACCTTAGGTACTGAGTGGGTAGCATATTACTGTTCTGAAGGACATGATGTTTAAAATGTCCTTTCAAAAGATGACATGCTCTTCAGAATGCCCCAAGATCATCTTCTCTCATGGAACAAGGGAGAGCCTGGGCGCTGGTTGATTCCTGCTGCTTGTATGCCCAAAGGGCTAGGAAATAATGTAATTCCCATCTTTCCAGAACTGGCACAGTGGCTTAAACCAACTAGCACTGCAGTGTTAGCAGTGCTAACCAGGACTCTTTACAACACAAAACAGTTAAAGATGGATCAGGATTTTTGAGCACTTGGCCCTGAGAATCTTTGCCTGAATAATCCCATGACAAAAAACATCATTATGCATTCTTTATAACCTTGTGTTAAAGATGGAGAAACCAGTTTAAAGTGTTTGAAATGAACAGCATGAAGCCAGGATTCTGTTTCAGCAAGATTTCTTATTTTCTTCAGCTGTAGAGAGGTTTCATAGGGAAAAATCCTCATTTTACGTTCTTTGGAATTGGGGTAAAGACCAACTGTTTGTCTTAAGAGTTAATATTAATTGAGATGGGCTGGAGCAGTCAAAGTCCAACTGTTTTCCTTGAAAAGAAAAGCAGAGAAAAGGGACAAAAGGGGAAAAGACTTGCAAGGAATAAATGCATCTTGTCTCTGGTCCTGATTTTACTTGTAACCTCTAGTAGCTTTCTTAGGGGTAGGTGATCAGGGCACTAGCCCTGGGTGCCGAGTTAGAGGGGGTGACTGCACTATGAGGTACTATAGCCGATCTGTAGGGATTCTGTCCCTGAGCCATGGCAGCCCAGGCCTGTACCTGCAGCAGTAGTGGGGCTTGGTTGTGAGCTATAATGCATCTTGGTTTATGCTGCATTTCCTAGTTCTGCCCTTTCTTTATAAATTCTGGCAGTCACAAGGTGTGGGTGGGTGGGTGGGCGTGCATGCTGCAGAAAATCCGTTGACCAAAGAATGAGGTTGAGGATAACATTATTCACCCCAATTCTGACTCTCTCCCCAAATCCAGTCTGCAGGACCTTTATGCAGTCACAGAGAGGTCCAGAGGGGAAAGGCTGCGTTGTGTGCTGGTCAGTGGCAGGTTATTACCCCATCCTGTGCAGTACCTTTAAGCTGCTTGTGAGAACCATCTCTGCAGCTGGGTGAGTTAAAGATGCATAATGACACTGCTCTCTGACACACTGAAGTACAGTGGGCCCAAATTTGGCAGCTTTGAAGTTACCTTTACTGCCATCTTAGAAGATGCTGGTAATTGTTGTTTGTTGTAGACCAATGATTTTTCTACCTTTTTTTTCTTTTGTGGACCTGTAAAAAATTTTGAATGGAGGTGAAGACCTCTTTGAACTGTAAGTGTGGATGTTCACATACTTTTGATAGCTCATAGTCATCTTTCGCGGATCAGTTAGACGTAGTCTCTGGATTCCTAGGGGTCCACTGACCATTGGTTGAAAACCACTGTTGTAGATTAACATTCACATTGCAGCATCACTGAAAAGCTCAAGGCCCCATTGTCCTAAGTGCTTCCTATAGAGAAACAAGAAGCAAGTCTCTCATCAGAAACAGAAAAGAGCTAATGAATGAGAGGCTGCTAATTGCTTGAAAGTAGGCTACTTTAGCAAGCAGTATTATGGGTGAATCAGGGGGTGGGGCTTTGGATGCTTGTTTACATAAGACAACTTGTCCCCTCATCCACACGTGGACTTTGTCTACTGGCTGAAGTAGCTCCATGTAGGATCTTAGGGTTTGTACATGCTGTAAAATGAAGCAGGATTTGGCTTTTTCAGTCTAAACAATTATTTGAATTGCTTGTGCATAGGCCATTTCTAAGTAAGTGTAACAACAGAATTGCACTGGGTCACAATATCAGTGGTCCTGTGTATTGGGAATGTCACTGAAGCTTGTTGGAATATAATCTGAACCAGTTATTGCAAAGCAAACTACACACAACCCTGCAATTTCTCTTTAGTTATCTTAATCTCTTTGATATAAAGCATATGATGGCAGTGGAGCTGCACAATTAATGATGGCTTTCTGTTTTGGAATGACCTTAATAATTACACTATGTTGAAAGGATGGATTAAGTCTTGGCAGAGGTGTTTTATGGGAGCTGACATTCAGACAGCTAGAGGACATCTAAAGCAAGCATTGTGAAAATGGCATGCTAGCACTCTGCTACCATGTACAGGGAGCCAACATAGCTATAATAGCGATTCTCAGCCATGGTGCTGCAGCCCCCTGGAAGTGCTATGTGTTGTGGGTGAGGAGCGAGAGATAAAATAAGTTGGTTCTAGTGGGGAGATACATGCAGGCTCTTCCCTTCTAGCTCTATCTTTCCCTCCCCCCCCCCCCCT